CAAAGCCCCAATATGATTATATATAAATCCAATATTAAAGATCGTCTTTTCTAAGATCTTCATGTCTATAATCTTTCCAATATCCTTTAATATTATATCAATACAATGTGTATATCGAGTCGAATACAAGTATAGTCTTTTTGCTTACAGTAATTTACCTAAAAAAGAGAAAAATAAAATTGATAATTGTTTGAAATTATAAAATTAACATAATTAAAACATTCAAAGGAAAAATCATTAGTTTCTTCCATTGTCTGTTATCACTTGAATCACATTTTGCTCTCGAAGTTCGCCAATAAACATGTCAGGTAATTTAAATATTTTTTTCTCCATATTTTATATAGGAGATTTATCAATTGACTTGACAAACATAGTTTCTAATGAATAATTGATCAAAAAATTAATTATACTTATTTGTCTTCTATCGGTCCATGCATCAAACATAATGGAACAAATCATATTTTGCTCGTGCATCCTTATGGCCCTTCATTAATTTGTTTGTGTAATCAAACTCATTTCTCAAATTTAGAACTCTTAACTCATGGTGACTTAGAGGCTTCAATTTAGGACCATATTTACTGATTGCTTCAATCATATGCTTAAAGCACGCCCCTTATTTATTTCATCTGGTTTAATCAAACTAGAATCAAATATTGAACTTGACCCAAGTTTGATCCAACCTTATTTGTGTCAGGTATGTGCCTTGTCTGTTGAGCACCTAGGTTGTGCTCGGTTAAAGGCACTTGCCTAGGCCAATTACCTAACGCTCAAGCCTTGCCTCGCCTAGGCGAGCGCTTGGTGACTTCAATACTTTATCTTCCGCTCACCCCACTCTCTCTCTCTCTCTTTCCCTCTCTTCAATGGTGTAATTTCTCCCCCTTCTCGCTCTTATTGCCCTCTCCCACCGCTACTCGATCATTTTCTTTTTTTTGGCCCTTCTCCCTTCTTTATCATAGCAACCCCCTCCCTAGGAGGTGAGCGACCCTCACTTGCACCCCTGCACCAAGAACGACTTATGGGGTATCTTGAAGAAAGAGAAAATTGTACTATTTATGGCAAGGAACCAAACTGTGTAAGAGTACACTGTGTTCCAGTGACAAGTGATGGCACTCATAATCTCTCTCGATGATTACTTGACGATAATGATATTTCGATCGTGAGCAACATGGTGATGACAATCGAGAGAGAATCGCACCCACAATGAGAAACTAGTAGAAAGGTTAAAGGGAGCAACCTGAAGATTTAAGAGAATTTTGAGGATGGTAAAACTTCTTCCTTGTAACAAAGGGATCATTTTTGTGAACATTGTAAAATTATAGGTCACTCAAACGAAAAGTGTTGCAAGATTCACCCAAAACTCTTCTCAAAGAAGTGGTCGAAGAATAATTAATATTGGCAAATCATAGCCATGACCACGAGTGACTACTCCATTGAACTTTCATCGGTCTCACACTCAGATACATGTTTATCGTTGATGGCTACATCAAAGGTTATAGACTCGAGTCCGACCCTCGGTTTAAAGGTTCAAGAAAAGCTCTTCACCATAAAGATTTAAGTGAAGCAAGAAGTCGGAGTGATTTTTGACATCGAGTGCTAAGAGAACCTCATCTCTGTCAGCTTGGTCAAAAAGCTTGGCCTAGTGATGATGCTACATCCATTCTCATATCCTCTTGGATAGTTTCATGATGATGTGGAGATGATGATCGATAACAATGCAAGATACACCTTGTCATCACAACGGAATTCATCGACGAGGTGACGTATGAGGTGGTTCCGCTTGACATATGCCAAGTCATCCTAGGGAGCCCCTACTTATGGGATCGAGATGTCATGTACGTTTGTTGAGTCCAAAAGTCTCAACTCTAAAGGATGAAAGAAAGTTCCTCATCACTCAAGAATCGATTGGTTTGACAAAAGACTTGACTTCCATCAACCAAGAAAAAAGGATAGTGAGTGCTTATCGGAAGCTTGTGGCTATAAATTCGGCATGCAAAGAACAGGGTCTATCTTTAACATGAGAAAAGAGGAGGAGAAATCAAAAGGGGCATTAGCAACCTTGAAGCCCTGAGAAGAGAAAGAAAGCCCTCGAGTTGACGGCGATCAACAACAAGGAGAACCCCATCAAAACGACGCATGTAGTCGATACAGTCGGGTATGATGACGCCAACGACATCGACAGACCAAAGCAAAACCTCCAACCTAAAATGGAGAAAGAGGAAGCCTCCAAGAAAGATTCATCGGTAGTTGAATCATCTAATTAGGGGAAGTCATGATCAAGGACGATCTAGAAGAGTTATAGTTAAACTCCAATTCGGCCCAACTAGAGTTCCAATTGGACTTCAATTTGATCCTGATGAAACTAAACTAAGATCAAGCTAGAGTTTGAGCTTAAAGATCATATTTAAGTCAGTTTAAGCCTCACTCAAAGTCGGCTTAAATCGAGTTCCGGTCGAAGTCCAATTTAGCCCTACCTTACTTTGACTCAAACTTTGATTCAAGTCCAATGTGGCTGGACTTAACTTGAGGTCCATCAAATCCAAAGAGGTTAGGTCCAGCCAGATTAAGTCAAGCTCCAAGTCCTAATTGCATTAGGAATCTCCAAGTCCTAAATGTATTATGACTTTCCAAGTTCTAAAAGAATTAGGACTCCTACTCTACCTTAGCTACAAAAGGAGGAGAGCTCCTTGAAGAGTAGCCAAGAATTAACCCTAGCCTTCCAGCTTTTGCCAAGAGAGATGAGAGAGCCAAAGAGAGAGGAGGAATTCTATAAGGTGATGCCTAAATCTTCAACCACTTCCTGAGTTCCAACACTGGAAGTCCTTCATCAATGCTTCTTCCAATTGCTATGAGAAGCCCCGTTGCTCATTGTCTAAACCTTAGGAGGATGTTCCAACAACAAGAAAGGTAGAGACCAAAACTGATAGTAAGACCTTTTTATTAAGAGCACCCAAGTGCTATCCAAAGACAACCTCCATTTTAATGCTTTCGTTCAAGTCTTTTATTACGCTTTATTCCATTGCTTAGCCTTATAGTTAACACTTTAATTTTATGAGAAATAGAGATTTTCTTTCGGTTTTGTGTTTGCTCCTTAGTGATATCACTCTCCTCCGTTAAAACTTCCATCTGTGAGGTGGTATTGGATTGATGGATTGTTGAACTTGAACCCCATACAGATTAGGTAGTAGGCAATAATCAAGGAGGGAGGGGGAGGGGGGCTATCAATGACGGAGGAGGATGGAGAGGGGGGCTATCGGGGTTCGAGGAGTTGGAGGATAGAGAGGGTTGTTAGTAGAGTCAACGAGGGGTGTAATAGAGGAGGCCAAGGCAAGGATAGCACCTAGGGAGAAGGCAGCATAAGGGAGAGAGGAGCTTCCAGGGAGAAGGCAAGAGGTGACATCGCCAGAGGTTTGCCTTATGCACGTAAGCTGCTCGTCAATTGTTGGAGGCCACCTTTGCATGTGCCATATCGTCATTTGTGCCATGCATAGCAGGCATGAAGATGTTCTCGTTCATTTAAATTAAGTTTTAGTTTTCCAGGTAAGAAGCAAGTCTTGCACGGGGCCTTGGGGTGAGCAAGGTGGAATTAGGCTCAAGCTGATTTGTTTCAATCGAACTAGGATTAAACCCAATGTTATATGGCTTAAGCTTGCACATTTGATAGAATTAAACTGGATACAATTAAACCTAATGTTCGATTAGACCATCAATAAACATTCCACTGAATTAAACCAGATTTAGAGAAGTTCCAAGATAGAGAGTTCCTAAAGATTTATGATATTGATGTTATAAAGAATATGTATGATAATGTAGTCACTTGTGTTAGAAATATAGAAAGTTTATTTAATGAGTTCTTTATTATTATAAATTTATAAGACTACACCAAGCACCCACATTAAGTCTTTATCATTTCATATTGATAATGGACAAACTTAGTAGTCATTTACAAGATAGTATGGTATTTGTTGATGGTATTGTATTAGTTGATAAAAGTTTAAATGGAATTAATTCTAAAGTTGTAAGGCAATCTTTAGAAACATGCTGATATAGTAATTTTAGAAATAAGAGTAATAAACACGTTGATATAGTAAAGTTGGATGGGTTAAAAGTTTCATTAAGTAAAAGTAATTTTAGTAATTTAAGTAAAAGTTTTAAGTATTTTAGATTAATTACTCAACAATATAGAGAGACTAATGGAAATATTATTTATAAAGTAAAAATAGGATAATTAAAATGACGAGGGGCATTAATAGTGTTTGGCAAGTAGGTAACAATATATAAAAAATGTTTGTGTTGTTGAGATGAGAATGTTGAGTTGCATATGTGGAGCTATTGAGATAGCTAAAGAAATGTTTTCATTTATGAATAATTAGGTATCACATTATTAGAGGATAAACTAAGGGAGAATCGTTTTAGATGGTATGAATATAGGGTTAGAAGATGCAGTAGTTAGAAGATGTGAAATAATTACTATTAGTGGTATGAGGGTCTAAGGTGATCTTTATAAGGTTCAGGTTCGACGATCCATCGATCCGATACCACGTCTTGGATGGAAGTTCTAATGGAGGAGAGAAATATCATTAGAAAATAAGTGTAAAACTAAAAGAAAACAAGTTAATGTGCCAATTGCAAAGGCTAAAGCAACAAAAACATGAATAGAGACTGATAGGTGCCTAAGAATGCAGGTTGTCTTTAGACAACACCTGGGTGCTCTCGACATATTAAGGATCACTGCCATTTTCGGTCTCCTTTTCTTGCTACTAGAACCTCCTCCTGAGGTTTGGATAGGCAGTAGGGTTTTGAGACTTCTCATAGTAGCTAGACGAAGTTTGGATGAAGGACTTTGGCTGTTGGAAATCGAGAAAGAAGGGGTTGTAGCTAGAGGGCATATCCCTTTTCTGAACTCCCCTTCCATTAGCTCTCAATGCAAGCTGGAACTAGGGCCATCTGGAGTGGCTTTTTGGTTGTTTTTTCGTTCTTCTTCTTGCTACTGCCAAAGGACTCTTTGGAAGCTATTGAGCTTGGTAGCAAGTTGGAAAAAGATCTTTGCAGTAAGGTGGCTGCAAGCAGGAAGAAAAGCTGTTGAACTTGCAAAGTCCCTCTCTTTTGTCCTCTCTTCACAGCCTAGGGTTGGTTGGGCACTCAAAAGGGGATACGACTTGGGATGCTTCGAAGGGGTTGCATCCCCTTAGCTTTATAGGATTAGAGGGCACCTTAAGTCTTAACTGAGTAGGACTTCTCCTCAATTCCTTGTAGCCGCAGGAGTCTTTTGTTGGAGGCTGGCCTAGTTGGGTAGGGGCTGCCTTGAATCTAGTTCTACTAGTACTAGGATTGAGCTGACTTGAATCTAGTCTTTGAGCTCGAGATTGGGGTTTGTCTTGGTTTGGTTTGATCAGCATCTGATTGGAGATCATGGCGAAAGATAGAGGGAGAGCTAAAAAGACTTTAATAAAAATTATAAATAAAGACGTAAATACTCTTAACCAAAGATATGACTCTTTACATATCTCAATGGCAACAAAAGATGCATGTAGTCAACCCCAAATAATTGGAACTTTATAGCTTTGTTGTTAATGTTGTTGTTGCTTCTGCTGCTGCTGCTTGCCTCTTGTGTGCTTGATCATTTTCCTATGAGATAATATTTACTGGTTACATTTAAAAAAGATTGATGCACTTTTATTGACAGTGTAATTATGAGCTTCATTTCTCTTTCCTATCATCTGAAAAATATGTTTCATACTTTGATATTACTGTTATGGTGTCAGGGTGGCCATTTTTCAGGTATTTACCGGAAAGTGCAACTAAAGCCATCAAAATGGGTTAAACTTTCAAAATCTGATGGTGTTGGTGAAGATGAACATCCTGTTGAAGCTCTCATGGTTCTCAAGTATGGTGGTGTTCTTACACATGCTGGAAGAAAGCAGGTTACTTGTGTCTCATTCTTTTCCCCGAAATTTCCTATTGTTTTTTAAGTCGCCTCATCAGTTAGCCTGTTTGGAATTGTTCAAATGAATGATCTGCAGTCTTACTGGCTGCAGTACGTAAAGGTTGATGAGTGGTGTTGCTGCGATCTTAGTGCTTTTAATTGTCTTTGCAAGAACACTTGAAAGCTAACAAAACATTCTTTCCATTTCAGTGATATTCATTATTGCTTAATACAGTTATCACTTTCATGCTGATTATTACTATTTTCTTTTCCCAGGCAGAAGAGCTAGGAAGGTACTTCCGGAACAATATATATCCAGGTTATATTCTAACTGAAAATTTATTGTGATTACTGACATTTTATTCCTTGTTTGAACTGAAAGAATGTCAAATACTTTTAATCAAAGGTTTGTGATGCTGAATGGACATTTTTGTTGGTTTAAAATGGTTTGATGTTTCGGGTACTAGACCCAAGTCGATCCTCGACCAGATCAATATGGGGCTAGCATCTTTCGGCATAATGTGTCGTCACAGATTTGGTTGATTTTGCCAAAGTCGGGCACCACTCTTGTGATATTTGTTTGCAAAGTGTTTTCTTGAAGCCTCTGGTTCCTATGATGAGCTGTAGACGTAATATCTTGTCATCTGCTGTTTGTTATATGGTGAGCCCTACTTTCACACTGACATTCTTGGGCCCACCTTGTTAACTTTGGCCCCCTACCCTTCCTTTTTCCCTTTTCTTAACCATTCTTCAGTGCTTTTGATTTTTGTTTCATCTTCTTAGTTTTGATATCCCCATGAGGAACTTGAAAATTACTTATATAATTAGTTAATAGCTTCAAGGAGTCATGATATGTTACCATTGCTAGGAATAGAATTACTGGATATTTAAAATATGAGATCGTATGTAAAAAAGAAAAAGAGACCCATATGTAGGTCATATTATGGTTCGCCTTATTGGTCCATACCAGTGTACCAATCGGCCATCGGTATAGTACGTACCGAACCATATCGATATACTGACACATGAGTACGGTGGGCGTACTGACAAATCGATATGCATCGCCTATATCAGTCTCCTATCGGACCGACACATACTAACATTACCGGGCAGTATGCCAAGGTATGACGAACCTTCGATCATATGATTATTTTAATTATTTAATATAATGGTAATCAGCATGGGATTATTTTGATTTCTTAACTTTCTCTATGTATATCAATTAGCATATTATATCATTCATCTATCTCTCTTGAATGTCATATCCCCTTTTTCCTTATTTGTGCATTTTATACTATTAATACTCTACTGTCTTTTGCTATTAAGTGCAATGGCCTCTGATATGGTGTCCTCCCATATAAGTGCAATGGATCAGTTTCTATTGATCATTGGATGGACCGATACGTATCACCCGTATTATACCGTCTTGGAAGAAATCACATTCCTTTCTGCCAGTGTTAAGTTTTGCTAATTATCTGTAGTCATCACATCAAATTATTATTCCTTGGATTCTCATTTTTCCTTGTGCATGAAGCTCTTATTCACATGTAATGCACATCTGCAAGGCATAAGCATTATTTTTTTGCTTCTATTGGTTCCATTTTCCTTTCCTTCCCTGGATGAATACATCTATTTTCCCATGCTATACAATCATTGTTGATTGTGCATTACGAACATGGTTGGTTTATATGACATATATTTATAAAAGAGCTTTTCTTTATAAACATTAACCTACAACTGATGAATGACTCATATTTTCCCATATTTCTTGGTCATTTTAGTGTTATTTGTAGAGCATTCAACAATGGCCCATTGATTTTGATGGTAATACTTCTCATAGTTCTAACTTCATTTGGAATGTGGTATATGCTTTGATCATTTTATTGTGCAAAAGCTTGCTTTCTTTTGAATGATATGGGAATTCCCATATACTTGTGTAATTAATCTTTGCTTTCTGCCGACAGATTTAGTGGAATTACTTTGTCCACATATAAATCTGCTATCATATTATTTACTGATATATGTTTCCTTAACTGTTTGACTCTTGCCATGAATTCTTGTATCAGCTAATCCATGTTATGTTGTCTGTTCTCTTGTCCCTTGTTTATGTTATAAAGGTGCAGTTAAATCTCTAATAAAATCAATCTTTCTATGCCTTGACAAGACTGAGCAGAAAGTTCTCAAATCCTAGTTTGGTATTTTTATGTAAGAAATTAAAATTCGAAAACGGGACCTGTACAAACTCTAAGCTAGGATTCTTTCTCGATTTTTCTTGACAAATACAAATTGAAATATATATTCAGATAATAATCACAAGAAAATACATGTACATATAAAGAAGTTCTATTATTATTAGATGTAAAATTAACGCATACACCTTCTCCTATCACCAAAATGATTGATGTGAATCCACAGTCGATTGGGATCCTCCATATAATGTATCTGTTGATAGATAAAAAATGCCTACAGGACCCATGTATAAAACTACTCTCGTGGCATCTGATATTGGTTAAGAGTGTGACACTGATGCAATAATGTGATCGCAATGGTTGCCTAGGTCCAAATGGATCTAGCTTAGATATACAAGAATGAAGGTTTGATCTTTGTAAATCAAGCCCTAAATGAGGTCTAAATGAAAGAGATTTAGATTAGGATCAGATCAGATTTGGGATTTATATCTTCTACTTAAACAACTAGTCCCTTAGATCTGGGACTTAAATCTTCTTTGCAATTAGTACTATCTATGAGTCATGATTTTTTCATGTGGCAGTAGACTTTTATAGGACCATGATTAACTTAATGACAAAGTGTCACGGACTTAGCTAGAATTGCCTAAGTTGTGAGGCACCCTTGCGGCCAAGACACAAACTTAGCTTGAGTTGCCTAAGTCGCGAAGCACCCTTGCGCCAACTCTTCGGACTTAGCTGTGATTGCCTAAATAGTGACGCACCCTTGCGATATGCGTCTGCAAAGGGTCAGCCAATTTGTAACCTCACTTAGGTCCCGAAGGACTTGTAAAAGAGAAAGTTGATTAGTTCGAAGAACGAGTGACGGACAAGTCCCGACGTCTCGCAAAAGGGGAAGCTTTACAAGCAATTCAGCAAGCACCTTGTGTGCACAGGAGAAAAGAGAGGAAGGAGCAAAACAAAGACTTTAGAAGGTCGAACGAACAGTTGCAAGTCCATAAACAATTGCTCACCGGGTGTCGGGTGCAAAGGCAAGTTCCCGTCAAGTTAACGTGCGAACTTGTCGAGATTTTTCAACGCCCGACAATATACCGAAGCCCCATCCAGCCCTGTGCCACTCGGGGGGTTCTAGGGTGCTGAGATGGCTGACGTTTTGCTTGCAGCTGCGGCTTGTAGAAAACAAGTCGTGGCACGCAAAAACGAAGTTGTTTTGGGTAGTTCGGCCCGGCGCGGCGAGCGGATGCACTACAGCGCTGCAACCTGTTCAAACATGCATTTTTACAAGCAAAACACATAAAAACTAAGTCCAAACATGCTGTCATGTCTCGGTACAAGCATGCAAAAGCGATGAATGGTTCGTTGAATGAAGTTGTCGCCTAGGTCCAAATGGATCTAACTTAGATATACAAGAATCAAGGTTTGATCTTTGTAAATCAAGCCCTAAATGAGGTCTAAATGAAAGAGATTTAGATTAGGATAAGATCAGATTTGGGATTTATATCTTCTACTTAAACAACTAGTCCCTTAGATCTGGGACTTAAATCTTCTTTACAGTTAGTACTATCTATGAGTCATGATTTTTTCATGTGGCAGCAGACTTTTATAGGGCCATGATTAACTTAATGACAAAGTGCCACGGACTTAGCTAGAATTGCCTAAGTCGTAAGGCACCCTTGCGGCCAAGACGCGAACTTAGCTTGAGTTGCCTAAGTCGCGAAGCACCCTTGCGCAAACTCTTCGGACTTAGCTGATATTGCCTAAGTCGTGACGCACCCTTGCGATATGCGTCTGCAAAGGGTCAGCCAATTTGTAACCTCACTTAGGTCCCGAAGGACCTATAAAAGAGAAAGTTGATTAGTTCGAAGAACGAGCGACGGACAAGTCCCGACGTCTCGCAAAAGGGGAAGCTTTACAAGCAATTCAACAAGCACATTGTGTGCATAGGAGACAAGAGAGGAAGGAGGAAAACAAGGACTTTAGAAGGTAGAACGAATAGTTGCAAGTCCACAAACAACTGCTCACCGGGTGTCGGGCGCAAAGGCAAGTTCTCGTCAAGTTAACGTGCGAACTTGTGGAGATTTTTCAACGTCTGACAATATACCGAAGCCCCATCCAGCCCTGTGCCACTCAGGGGGTTCCAAGGTCCTGAGATGATTGACGTTTTGCTTGAGCTGCGGCTTGCAGAAAACAAGCCATGACACGCAAAAACGGAGTTGTTTTGGGTAGTTCGGCCCGGCGCAGCTAGCGGTCGCATTGCAGCGTTGCAACCTGTTCGAACATACATTTTTACAAGCAAAACACACAAAAACTAAGGCAAAACATGCTGTCATGTCTCGGTACAAGCATGCAAAAGCGATGAACAGTTCGTTGAACGAAGTTGTTGCCTAGGTCCAAATGGATCTAGCTTAGATATACAAGAATCAAGGTTTGATCTTTGTAAATCAAGCCCTAAATGAGGTCTAAATGAAAGAGATTTAGATTAGGATCAGATCAGATTTGGGATTTATATCTTCTACTTAAACAACTAGTCCCTTAGATCTAGGACTTAAATCTTCTTTGCAATTAGTACTGTCTATGAGTCATGATTTTTTCATGTGGCAGCAGACTTTTATAGGACCATGATTAACTTAATGACAAAGGTTGGATCTATCTTATTCCTGTAAACAAGAGAGACTTTCTCATTGTTTGCTTTCATATAGCTTCACACTCTGGCGTGCTTCTTATTTCCTTGTGGAAAGAAAGCAAGTAATCATGAAAGCATGGGCTTCAGTTTCAGTCCTTGCTAAAGGTGTATGATATTGGGATTGTGTAAGCATAGTAATTCATGCCATAAGCATGAGACAAAATTTTGTTGTCTCGGGAAGAACCTATTCTAGCCATTACGGATGCCATGTTAAAGTATACCATTTGGCCAAAGCATATTAACAATCATTGGTATGCACCTTGGTCATTAAATTTAAAATCCTGCATGAGAGAGCTTTTATGTACTGGATTAAATCCAAGAACATAGAGCTTTAAGATGGTGCTTATAGGGTAGAAGACATCTGATTTATTTCTAGTCCATGACTGTATACTGCCTTTGGTTATACTATTCAAGCATCTTAAGTTCAAAAATTCAAGATGCAGTTTTTCAGGTTAGCATGTGAATATAACCTACTTTTGTGAAAATCATGTTATATTATTCAGGTTCCACCAAGGCTCACAATACCAGCTTCAGTGATATGGTCAGAATTAGTGGGGCTCTTTTAAATCAGATATTCAAGGTTGGGATTTAAAAAAAATCATGGTTCGCCTTACTGGTCTGTACCGATGTACCAACCAATTGTTGATATGGTACGGATCAAACTGTACCGAGCCATATCGAGCATGTTTACACATAGTACATGAGCGGTGTATCGATGTACCACCTATATCAGTCCCCTATCGGACCAACACATACCATCTGTACCGAGCGACACACCACAGTACAGTGAGCCTTTCAAATCTCTATTATAGAATAATAATTTCACAGGTGTATTGTCTTTCCTTCTCTGCTTTCTCCTCTTCTCTTCCTGTGCCTATTGTTGTCACTTATGGCAACTATCTACCTCATCTCTCATTCCTCCTTCCTCCTTCCTTTTTGTTTTCTTTTTTAGAGATTGATAAATCCTTGAGGAACAACCAAAATTGAAGACTTTGCATCATTTCCTATTCATTTCTTGTATTAATGTTAAAAGCAAACAAAACCAAGTCGGCCTTGGACTGTACTGATATGGGTTGTGTATAATGTGTATCATATCAGATCAGTTGATATTGTATACTGTGGAGTCACAGTATGATTCTGAAGAAGTGTACAATTTCTCTGAATGTTATCTTGAACAGAAATAAATTATTGTGTGCAATTCCTATCGGATAGATTTCCTTCGGTAAAAGTTCTTCATAGTCAATATTCTTAAATTAACATGTGACATAGTTTTGTTGAGTTATGTGCTAAAATCGTCGATGAATGACACCTCAATCTCTGTTTGCCTGTAACATTTAGGTGAAGGCACTGGCTTACTTCGCCTGCATAGCACTTACCGGCATGATCTAAAGATATACAGTTCAGATGAGGGCCGTGTTCAGGTACTTTTTATGTGGCTGAATGCCTTTGCTATTCTTCTTAACTTTGTCAATATTTGTGTAACTCTTCTATATAGTTTTATACTTTCCTTGTACTTGATATTTCTTTATGATTGTTGCATTCTTAAGAAAGTGATTAGTGGCTTTCTACTAATCATATATATACCACATTATGATTAGAATTTACACCAAATTTGTTGCAGATGTCAGCAGCTGCATTTGCAAAAGGCCTTCTTGATCTGGAGGGGCAGCTAACACCAATTTTGGTTAGTATCCAGCATTTCTGTTTATTGTCTGCCATTATATATTTGTCCTATTTTACATTAAGACTGTCTTTTGTTCTTAGGTTTCGCTTGTTAGTAAAGACTCTTCCATGTTGGATGGACTAGAAGATGCTAGTGTTGAGATGGACGAAGCTAAGGTTGGTTTTGTTATGTCTAACAATGTTTATTTTTGTCAGATTATATTACACTTTTATGATAAGTTAATGATAAAGAAGAGAACTTATCGGTATTGGCTTTTAGTTATTATAGAACCACGAAACTAGGAAATCTGTGCTTAATAGTATTGGCCTGATTATTTTGGCCATTCCTTGAGATTTAACATTAGCAATGTTCATTATTCTTCTCTAAAGTACTTTTAGTTACCATGATTGAATTCATAACTATTCACATGATATGTATGGGTTGTACCAACAGAGCTAATGTGTTGCATCTGGCTATAAACATTCAACAGAAAACATTCTAGTGGTGATTGCCACAGAAGTTCAACCTTATTACATGCACTTGTCAAAGAATGCTTCTAACGTTATTTAACATGAAGATCATTAAAAGGATATAAAAGAACAAGTCCATGAAGATGAAAACTTATAAGCTACAACACCTAGCCATATAGGTTAACTGATGTGTGATATCTTAATTGCCCAAGAATGGCTTTCATTCCCTGGTGTCTTTGAATTAAACTAATTTATTATTCCACCACCGCATAAATTAGTGTTAGCACTTATTTTAGAAGTTGGATTAAAGAATAGATTACAATACAATATTTCTAGTTTTGGTCTAAGTGAGCTGTCAAAAGGAGAGTCTACAGTTCATCTGGTCATTTGGTAATATAGAAAATAAAAGAAAAAAACAGTAAGCATACCCTAGTAGGTATAAGTTATGTGTTACGTATGTATATTCATGGTTTGCAGTACCGGTCCGTACCGCCCGGTACGGGCGGTACGTACCGGTCCGCCAGACTTCCGGTACGCGGATCATATGTTACCGTTCCGACACTGTAGTAGTACTGTAGCAGTACTGTAGCTCGGTACGCCTGAATATACCGCTCGGTACACCTGGGTGTACCGAGCGGTATACCGTACCATACCGGTACCGAGCCCAGGTCGAAACTCCGGTATGGTACGGTATTGCGAACCTTGTGTATATTAATGTGATATGATTGTTGATGAAATGACCCTGTTTATTGCTGGAAATGATCAAATCATGGATTATTTTCAGTGTTGTGGTTCCTTTATAAGCTAAAACTTTCTTCTATGCTTCCTGTGAGGAATTGAACACATGACAATGCAAGTCTCGGAATCAACTCTCCTCTTCAAATCCTCACAATTTCTTGGCAATAGAAAGGTTGAAAATCCTTGATCAACCCCTTTCATTGAGCCCACAAGCAATACAATTGGTCAATTGATAAGCCCCACCACACATCAGGAATGATCCATGATCAATCCCGGAGGGTCTATGTTTTCCACGTTTCCTAATCATTCATGGATGCTGAACAGGCATAATCCTGGTTGGAGGCATTTATAAATTGGTTCTAGATTATAAATTTGTTTCCTTACTCCACTGAAACTAGTTCAAGATTATAAATTGCTGGACAGGCATACCATTGTTCTGTTCTAAAATTTGATATAGTATATAACTATATATGACCAAAAATTAACTCTTCTGCATATCTTTTAAATTTCAACCATGCAATATAGATCACTATGTTTCATAAGAAAGTTATCATAAGCTTTTGAGGCTTGTTTTTCCTTTTTTCTTCCCTTTGAACCGTGCAGGCCCGATTACATGAAATTATAACTTCTGAAGGGAAAGCTATAGACAAAAATGGTGGTTCAGAATTTCCATGGATGTTTGATGGTGCTGGTCTGCCTGATAAGGCTTCTCAACTTCTTCGGCCTTTGGTACCTTGTTTTGACTCAATATTGTGCTTTTAATTTTTTTCTCAACTATATTGTAGGCTTTTCTCTATGGAATCTCCAATTTTGGTTGTGCCTACATTTTTTATCATTCTTTTTATGGGCATGCCCATAAAAGATGCCTTAGTTTCTCCTCGTCTTGTCGCCTGTTGTGTTGATACACTGGTACCAATGGGTCTGTACCGACAAAGATCAATATGGATCTGGTATGTGAAATGGCACTCCTCGGTGGGAACCTGTTTTGCGTTGGAGCATTCTTGCTTGTTGGGCAGGATTTATTGGAAATTGGAAATTTCAGTCCATCGAGGTGAATCCTGTCCTAGGGACAGTTTTGACCATAATGGTGTCTACTAGATCGCCTCATAATACTTAGAATCCTACGTTACTTGCATGAATAGCAGGGATTCAGTTTGTTTTCCTACATATGGAGATGAGTGGTTAATATGAACAACTTGTGCTTTCCATTTTGGACTATATTTTAACCCGCTTCACATAGTTAACTAGGCAAGTAGGTTGCTAGGTTGTTACATTCTTTATTCAGGCATGTGGACCAAAAAGTGACATATGGTGCATTCCATGCAACCCCAGTCAATTAGGAATAGACATTAAAGACAGTGGCTGTGGCATAGTGAACAAATTAAGCTCGCTGCATCTGTATCACTTGCAGATGACCTCGATGGTGTCAGTGGGCTTTTGCATTTACATATTTGAGCAACCAATTTCTAATATGTGAACATAAGCATTATGGGCCATTAGGACTTCTAGTCTGCATAAATTACTTGGTTAGAAAGTTGGTTGGTTCATCAGTGATAATACTGTAAAGTGTAAACTATTGGTCTGTTCAGCTAACCACATGGACTTGGACAGTTAAAATGGAATAACAAATGGATCTTCTCGTATGAACAAACCCAAGTTTCACTTCTTTCAATCTGATGTTTAGAAAACCTGTCAGTCTAATGTGACCCTCTAGGTTCTTGACCTTTCCTTTCTCTGTTCATGTGAAGCAGCCTTGCATGGTTTTCATGTATGTGGAATGGTGCACTTGCTGATTTCGTGAACTTAAATTAACATGCATGTAACTTTATGCATGTTGCTGACTTCTCTTTGTTAACCATGGTGCCCCTCTTCACTTTAAGGCATACTTCTACACCATAACAAACTCGATGAGAATATCTTTTTAATGAGCCTAATTTAGAGATTTCTTTTGTGTTTGCAAGTAATCTGATGTTTGTTCCATACCACAAATCATGATCCAAAGAGATAGTGTTACCATGTTCGCGAGCAATGCATGACTATAGTCATATCATCATGCAGAGAATAGAATCCGTTTGTATTGCCATCTGCTTTTCATAAGCAACTATTGTATCCTCCTGCATCAAGACCTTTCCAAGAGCATAGTCTGAAGCATCAACCTGAACTTTGAGTGATAAAGTGTATAACCAGATGACGTAACATGATTTCCTCAATCCTGTTGCCTGGTACTTCCCAGACCACTTCGAAGGCCAGCCTTTTCCATCAGCAGGATGGCTTACTGTAACCCACTATTATGTGCCAATTTCCCGTAACTCCATAACCTTCGTCAGAAATTTCTGTTCCATAATGTTTTGGACTTTGGCTTCATTCAATACAAATTGTACAGCCACTAGCACAATGCTCTAAGAGCAAGATATCTTTGGCAAGATAGCACTTTTCAGACAAGGAATTCTCATATATGAACAGTGATGAACAGTGATGAACAGTGATGAACAGTGATGACGTATTTTGCTCTAAGAGCAAAATTCTGTTCCACTTGTTTTGTTTATTTATTAATCTACAATTGTAATGACTTATAATTGTACGTGGGAAACAATGTATGACTCTGTTAAACCCATTGAATAGACATGTTTATTCAGTCTAAGTTGGATGCTCCTCAAGTGGATATTGCATTTTCCCAATTATGGGCAAGATGGAAAGTCCACTTTCTGTCCTCTTTTTCTTAAAAAACTGAATTAGAGGTGACAGAAAAATCTCTGTAAGCAGGATTATCAAAATTGAAAAATAAGATGGAATAAAAGTGCTGGTGGAAAGAAAGGAAGAAGATGTTATTTTTGAGGAACAAGTTGATGAAAAGTAGGATACTCTTTTGTAGAGGCACTCTGCAGGTGAGGTTGCATGATTTAGGAGATTGCATATAAGATAACAATCATTATTCTAATTGGCTTCCCTCTAACCTAAATTCAACAAGGGATTGTACAAGCTGGACTTGCAGGCCTGCAGTGATTGTTTTCCTGTGCTGGCAAGAGTACCAACACATTTGGAGTGGCAGTGGATAGTATGTCCGCACATCATTGTGTTACTCATGCCCTTGCTGGTGTCAGTAGTATGGAAATGTACACAAAAATAGATTCCTTGCCTTTAAGTATTTATTTGTCTTTTCCTGTGGAGCCTTGGAATTTATAATACTAATTTTTGATATTGCAAGCTTTTAGGTTAGGAAAACTTTAGATTGTTTTAATATGAGTCATGTTTAACTGTTATGGTAAAATGGTATGAACTAATCTGTTTTTCATTGTTTAATATTTTTTATGTTGTTACAGAATGTGCTTCCTGAATAGGAAAATTTATAAAGATTTATATGAGTTTCTTAATAGGTTAACTTGACAAAGAAGATAACCACACAAGTGAAGCTACTAGCTGAGGATGAAGATGAGAAGCTTGTGACAAGTTCATACACTGTGCTCCCTCACTATGACCAAGCAAAGGCCCTTGGTAAAACAACAATTGATGTAACTCGAATAGCTGCTGGATTTCCTTGTGGTAGTGAAAGCTTCCTCTTGATGTTTGCACGTTGGAAGAAGCTTGAGAGAGACTTATATAATGAAAGAAAAAAGTACGTAGATTTTTAAAATGAGTAGCAACCTGTACATGATCAAGCAGAAATGTATTTTGCTATGTATTTTTCTTACTTTGGCAAAATCATGAATATAAATTCTGAGATTGACTAAACTTAGAAGGAACTAAATATATTTCTATTTATTTTGCAGCCGGTATGATGTCACACAAATTCCGGATGTCTATGACTCTTGCAAGTAAGTCTTCAAATTCATTCAAATTATAAGTGAGGAATCTTTCAGTCACAGGGATGATGTCCTAATAAGCTTCTTGGTTATGTCCTTAGGTAGTGCTTATAATTATACATCTTATAATCAACATTTATTAGGAAAATTGAATTTGAGGTTCACTTTTTTCTTGGCATTATTGATGTGTGAGTTCTATACCATGACAGATATGATCTCCTTCATAATGCACATCTTAATCTTGAAGGTTTGGCTGAGCTCTTCAAAGTCGCTCAGGTGACATATATGTTCTTCTGCATCAAATACTTTGATTAAATAAATTTATGTTGCACATAATGCCATTGTGCATACGTATACATTCATATTCTACATGAGCCATGGTGGAGTTAATGTCAAATTAGATGTGTTCATGGGGATATACCTAAAAGAAAAGCTAATGTTCCACATAGCGTTTGTCATAAACTTATTACAATTTTCTTTTGTTTTGGCGATACACATGTTAGGCTATAAATGAATCTGACCCGGATCAGATCAGCACTGGTCTGCCCTTGATCTGAATAATCCGACTGCCAATTGAACTGTCAAATCAGATTGTTCGGATTAAAATACCAATCCATATATTATCCAGTTGAAATTTGGAGTTCTAATCTAATCCAAGTGGGAGTGAAACAGTAGGTGGTTGTTGTCCAGTAGCTGGTGATGCAACCAATTACAGAGGATTGTGCAATGAAGGGAGAGTATAAGGAAATAATGGCTTTATCAAAGAAATTGGTGCATGAGGTGGCTGGGAATCTCACGTCGCCAAGCTCAATGTATGGAGACAGGGTGCTCAGCATCCTAAGGATGTTGCAACCTATCATTGAGGTCCAATAATGTAGGAAGGAGGAATTCTGATGGACATGATTCCTAAAAATGCCACCTTCTGTGAGTGTAAGCCTTTGAGGCATGTAGGGACCCTGCCACCTCTGATTCAGACATCCATAGATGTGAGCCTTTTGAGGCAGGCAGGAAGTATGAGCCTAATAGCGATTGATAACCAAATGAATGAAATGGGAGATTAGGTTTAGGAATTAATGAAGTTTTATATATGCTGCAAATGAACATTGATATAGGACAAATGCCTTGATATTAGATATGATGTAGAACAGAAGGATGGGTGGCTAAAAAATTGTCGTTTTATAGTATTTGATTGTGAAATAGAGAACTAAAAATTTAGATAGAATAATATTATAAAAAGATAACTATTTCACTCATTTTGACTCAAGATTAAATTCATAGGAATGAAGGCTTCACACCTTTGTGTGTTGTATGTGAACAATGGAATCATAGCAGATTAAATTGTGGCATCATGCAATTCAAACCGTGATTATGGGAGCTTGTTCATTCATTTAATCATTCTATGATCCTCCAGGTTGCAATCCCTTGTTATAGAGCCCCAAGTTAAAGAAGTAAAGAAAAAAACTTTCTTTAACTTTCTTTATTGCTGAAAGTAAAATTCAATTTAAACTAAAGAAGTCTAATACAAAAGGACACCTGGATGTTCGACCAGATAAGCAAGAAACAGTAAGAGGATTTGAGAATCCTAGCATGATTGACCAACTAGTTGGCCACCCAGTTGCGCTCCCTATATACATGTTCATCATATACCAAATGTCAGAAAAATGAAAACTACTATAATAAGAAAAGAATTTCCTTTTAGGGGAGGATCTATGATGAAATACATGTATATACATGAGGTTTATCTCCATTTTTCCTTGGAATCTCCAATCAGGACTAAGGTTTTCCTCCTTTCCTTTCCTCATTTGGTTTTCATTTTTCTTCTCTTTGGGCAATTTGGATAACTAATGTAGGATTATAAAATATGTTACCACATGACAACTTGTGACATTTGCAAAAGACCCCCAAAATATTTTTTAAAAATGAGAAATAAATTGAAATGGTCCACATTATTCAACATATTGGTCAATAAGCAATAGCTGAGTGCCAATTAGGCTTAATACAATTGTCAACATCCTGGTACCATCCAATGACCGGTCATTGTGACAGCAGATACTATGTTATGTTTCATGCAAAGTCTTAGAATAGCATGAAATGTCAAAAGCACTCGCAAACAAACAAAACCTGATTTTGTGCCAGGAGAGAGGGAAAAGCTTACATGCATTCCACTTTTCTCTCCTCTTAAATTATATATGATTTTCTTGTCCTGCCTCCTTTGGCAGCAAGTGCAATTGAATATGGAGTGCTATAAAGCTCAAAATTAATATTAACCCCTTGTCTGCTTCACTTTCCATGACAACTCAATTGGATGAAATGAACCCTCATGCTCCCTTTAATTAAAATTGAACAAATCATTCCATTTGAGACCAACTATCATGTCAAGACAAACCAAATAGTTTAGTTTGTCATTTCCACTGTTAATATTAGGTTTCATAATAAGTTTCACCTTATTTTGGCAAAAGTTTTCAAGGAAAACAAAATACGAAGTTGAAGGATTAAGTTTAGAATCATGAAATGCAAATATGTCAAGCCTTAAAAAGGAAAGAGTACTTAGTTTTTCATCATTTCTTAGATGAAAAGGAGTGAATGGTTTGCCCTCAAGGATTCTTCCCCGTTTTGGTTCTTTAAATCAGGGAAGTTTGGACTGAATCAATAAACTCAATTAGATGGGTTATAATAGAAGGCTAAGAACATTTCCTAGACTGCACTGAATAGCTCGTTATTTTGTTTAAAAACAAGCACTAATACCAAGCTGTATGGTATGGTCCACTTGTTGCTCATGGGTCAGATTGACACTAGAATCATTGGCCACGAAGGCTTCATTACGGGAGGGGAGGGAACATATATGAAATGGTTATGAACTGTCATGAATAACAAGGGAGAACTATTAGAATGGCCATAATAAAAGTAGGGACAAAAAGATGTGCTGCTTCCTGGGTTATTTTATCTTATGCATACTGATGTAATTTCAGTCAAAATAAGAGGAAGTGGGTGAATCACCTGAGTTGTCCATTTAGCAACATCTGGTCCAAGCTCATCAAATGCTAAACGAATGAGAACTATTAGAATATCTATAAAAAAAATCAAGACGAAAAGATGCCCTGCTTTCTGAGTTATTTGTCTTATGCATATTGATGATATATCAGTCAATGTAAGCGTAAGTGGGTGAATCACCTAAGCTGTCCATTTAGCAACCTCTGGTCCATGTTAGCACTAGCATCGACTATGACAATGCATCTTGCTAAAATGGCAATATAACATCACCAAGGAAGCAATTAAGAACAGGCATTAATGAGTGGAAGCAAGGCAGGAGCTTGATGCATTGAAAGCCAAGAATGAGATGTAATGGTGTCCCTTACCAAGATCAAAGTGGAGAAAATTGAAGCTTAAAATATAAAAGATCGATTAAGGGAAGGTCAAGGAATCAAGTAAAAGAGGTTTAGATGATACTGTTTAATATAGGTAGCAAAGTAACAATTGATATGGCTGTTAACAATGGGTCATCTTGGTTTTGAGAGTGCTCGACTATATTGATTAGATTAGCTTCTGATTAATATAACTTTGAACCTAGGATGGGGTGACATGGTAAAGGTTAGAACAAAGGAATGTAATTTCAACTGAATTGGTGCAGTAAGACCAGTATTTACTTGTCCTACTGCTTCCTGGTTCATGGACCTGGTCATTTTGGCTGAAATCAACCCAATATAAAGCGTACTGGGTGGTACTGGTTGGTAGCGGTCGAAATTTGACTGTTACAAGCTTCCAATTGACGTTGGCTGCCTATTTGGGCTTATTTAAGTGCCTCTTGGTTGCCTCCTCTCTCCCACTGTGACTCTCACTCACTCTCTTTCAACCCTCCCCTGCTACTGTAGAACCATTCTACAAGTTCAATTCTGAGAATTGAGTTGAGCCTCAAAAGATGTGGATCAAGAGGTATGTTATTGTTTATGATATCGGTAAATCATATAGACAAACAAAAAGAGTTGCTAGTTGACTCTCAAATCTGATGATGCATTTTCGACGTAAGTGTTGCTAGCATCATCCACGTCTACCTTCAGAACAGAATGGTTTGCATGTCATGCCATTTTGGCATAAGCGACACTATGGTGTACATGAAATATCCATAAAGCTTGTTTATATAATGTTTAAATGCATTTGATATTCATTTTAAAAAAGAATGCAACATTTATTAGTTGCTTTGATGACCATTCTTGCTATATGCCTTGCTATATCCTACAATGTACAAAGTTGTCGTTTAAATATTTTCTTTACAGTTGCTTGCAGATGGTGTTATCCCTAATGAGTATGGGATAAATCCAAGTCAAAAATTGAAAATTGGCTCAAAGGTATATTCCTCTCATTTTTTCAGTAAAGACATTCTTGTGTTAATGTTGCTTCTTAAGTTTTACATAATTCTATTGGTATTCAACAACTCTATTTGAAAGAAATACCAGAACTGTGAAAGCATGATTTTGAAGCTTCTTTTTTAGATTAGTTTATCCTATGATAAACTGAACCTTTTTGGATGTTTTCCAATATGATATTCTTTGAATACCAATAGAGGTAATGCAAAGAATATCATATTGGAAAAACATCACTAATGAAGTCCATGAGATGTCAATTAATCATGATGTAGAAAGTGCTTCACATACTAGAGCACAGTGTGCTCTTGGCTATTTTAAATTATAATGGACAATTTACTCGTACGAGTAATGTTTCTGCAAGGAACTATTTTGTGCTTAATCTTCATAGCCATGGAACTACTGATCCTTTAGTTTTTTCTCAATGACTATAATTTTGTAAAGAATGAAATAACAAAATAATAAAGTAGGTATATCATAACAGAAATTTGTTTCATATTCATGGTTTGGATGATCAGTGTCCAGAAACTGGTATTAGTACCCTTTGTGGACAAGGGTTTTAATATTGGTCTGATACAATTCTGACAATTTGTTGGATCAGTAATTTACTAGTATATCGTGCAGAGTCTGCAGACTATACCACAAGTATCACTAAAAAGATGATAAAACTAATATTGAATGGTACCAAACTGTGTGCCAGTATTGGTTCTTAGTTGAACTGATAAATATGAAAGGATACATATCGGTCCATTTGGTTTTTATAACTATGCCTATTAGAATTTTAGTGGACTAGTACATATGATGTGGAACCATTCTTTATCTATTTTTCTTTTGGATCATTGTAATTAGGTTAGGGTGATTTTTTGTAAATTTCATAAGTTGTCATATGGCAAAATCTACTACAATTCCTATATTGGTTATCAAGATTGTGGAAAAGAACAAGAAAGTCACATAAAAGGAAGGAGATAATCATATATTTGATTGAAGATTCTAAAAAAGGAAGGAGATAAACCTTGAAATTGATTAAAGATTTCATCTGTAAGAAAGTTTCTTCTTGATGGAAATATCACTTGATCATTATAATAATAAATGATTTGGAATCATTACACACAAGGTCAAGCAAGTCAAATTTCTTTCTAGATGTGCAAAATTTCATCTGGTTAAAAAAATAGTTGGATTATCATTCTACGAGATTCATCCTAAATGGGCCAAAGTTGTGTACCTCCCTGTTAGGACTCTAGCTAGGAGAGTCCTAATTGAGAGGGACATTCTGTTAGGACTCTAGCTAGGAGAGTCCTAATTGAGAGGGACATTCATGTAGGAGTTTTTTTTTCTTAGAGAAGAATTAGGAGTTGTAAGGGAATAGGAGTCTTGAGTAGGAGTCCTATTAGGAGTTGGTTAGAAGTAAGAGTCTTAAGTAGGAGTCCTATTAGGAGTTAGGGTTTAGAAGCCCTATAAATAGCCATGTATTCCTCCTCTTTTCTCAAGCAATAGATGAATCTTTTCTGCAGCCTTTGAGCAGCAACTTGGAGGGAGGAACCCCTATAGAGTTCCAAGGAGGCCGATCCCCTAAAGAGATCAACCCCAAGTTTAGAATCTGCAAGGGTTCTAACATTGTACCAATTGTTGAAGCTAAAAATACGAAATTTTGGGGAAAATACAAAGAAAAAAAGAAAGGAAATCTAACATAAATTTTTAGCTCAGTAACAATAGAGTCAAAACAGAGAGATTATAACAGATAAAATCAATCAGCAGTTTTGAGATTCAGAGAACTTAACATTAGAATGCTGGCAACAACCTTCAAGGAAGGGCAGTTACCAATCATCCTCTCAAATTGAACAACTAGCACTAGTTTGCAGACACAAAATGACAAGGAGCAGGAATAAGTTTGTCAAAATAGATTGGTGTCTTGAGAATAGAGCTCTATGCAATGGTTCTTAAGAAAATAATATCGATTACAAAGCCTCATATGACATGTATGGTCATTGAATTGGACTTTATGCAGCATAGAAAATATATATCGCCAAGCCAGAAAAGATATCCATCTTGTAGATAATCAGAAAGGACAAAGAAAAATACCCATCCATCTCTGGCATTTGAACATCCATAAAGCAAGCATCAAAATTGTGTGGAGGTTGTAGCATTCTAATAGCCTCCTTCCCACTGTCAGCACTTGTAACTAAAGCACCAAATTTCTTCAGAACACCAGCAGCAACTTTACGGTTGACTGCATTGTCATCAACAACCAGGATGCTTTTTCCACTGAGAAGACTTTTAAGTGGTACCAGTTGCCTCTTCAAGTGCTGCCTCTTATGCCCTACACCTAGTGCTTTCCGAAGACAAGCAGCAATCATACTCAGGCGCAGTGGCTTCAGTATACTATCAACGTATCCTGCCGACTTCAGGTCACGAACCTCTGAGGGGCTTAGGGAAGTTGCTACCAGAAACATTTTTGGACTTTCTTGAGGCATCACTGTACCATTTCGCCTGTGATCTAAAAGAAGGTGTGGAAATAATATGCCCTCACCCTCACCCCAAGCATCTTTATCAACAAGTACCATGTCTAAACGCCCTCTCCCACTGCACAACAAATATTACAAGCATCACTGATAATGCATCAAGTATTTATTTGTGCAACTTTAACTGTGGTCTTACTACTTATAGGAGTTCCAGGCTAATATTGAGTTATCATGAAAGATTCATATTTCAAAATGTGGACATTGGAGCATATCCTGTTGTCCCTTCTTTTATTTAAAAAACAATGCTAGTTTTATTTATTGTACTCCCAAATCCTTAGAAGAAAAACAAGATTAACATGGAAATTGCTGAAAAGAATATAGTTTATTGCTTAAAAATTGCTTGCTAGTTATAATGAATCTGAATAATGTGACAATCCATGAAAGTTTGGGTACTAAACCTTCAAGCATGCATAGGTTGAAGACAAGTGAGATTGTACTGAGTATGCAACAGAATACAGCTGGTGAGAAATACAGCAGAAATTCAAAATTTCATGTTGTAGGACATTACATCATAGTAATATTATTTTAGCTCATTATATGGAACTTTAAGTGCTTCATTGGTATCTTTAAAAACAAAAATTACCTGGTACTGCATGGATCCAATATGGTACAAAGTGCAGAATCTTGGTCAGTCACAATATCAATGTGTATTCCCAACCTTTGCAAATGATACTTGAGGATTCTAGCACGAATGCTTCTCCCATCAGCAACCAGTCCTCTCATACCTCGGAAATCTGATGAAGTTGGATCAGAGTAATGCCTCTTTATTTCACCTGCATTTTTGCATCCTTGCCTGAACACAGCAGTGAAAGAAAAAGTACTGCCAATCCCAGGCTTGCTAACAAAGCCTATTTCTCCTCCCATAAGGTCCACTAAGCATTTGCTAATGCTCAAGCCTATACCAGTCCCACCATATGTCCTTGAAGTAGAACTGTCTGCTTGCATAAATGGTGTGAAAATACGGCTCTGAGCATCTTGAGGTATTCCAACACCAGTGTCTTCAACAGTCACCATCAAATTGATTGCATCATTGCCTTCAGTTGAAGATTTGAACATTGTGAAATTCTCCCAGATTTTTTGTTTGTCTACCACATGAAACCCACTCAATGTCTCACACAGGACATTCTTTGCACTCTTAACTTCTTCAACTGGATCTACTGAGACAAATATATGTCCCATCTCTGTGAACTGAAAAATATGCAAACCCAAATTAATTATGATATTTGCAATTGGCATCACATGTTTGCATATTGTTCAGGGAGTAGTAGTATCATAACACAGCCATAAGAACAATATTTGTCCCTGCTATCAGCAAATATAGCCGAATCAAATTGCTGATCCACATCGAATTTTCACCTTAGTGCAGACAAGGTAACAAAACTGGATTAAGAAATTGGCTGAAATTAAACTTGAGAATCTCAACAATGGAAGTGAGAGTGGAAATTGATAAGAGTTGGTTCTAATGACATTTATGAAAAACTTTCCTATGTAATCTCACATTTAAGATCTGCAAGTTGTTCTGAAGAATATTTGGAAGTTAGGCTTTCCTCTTGCCAGCACAGCATCTCAAGAAGTCTCTTATGTTGTACTTGTCTGTACATAATGAAGAACTGGGGAGAAAAACAGCTAAAACTAGCTGGACTAGTTGAACTGAAGAATAACTAGTGTTAGTTCATTATAATTTTGAGTTTAATCGAACAATACACAGAAAGGTTGTGGCTCAACCAAAATAATAGTCATAGTAAATATTGAACAAAACTGCAGCTTTACCGTCAACAGGTGAAATGCCAGGAAAAAAATGCTAAATTATGCCATTGGACTTCTTTAACTGAGCTTTAGAAAGGTTGCTGATTCAACAAGTGTACCAGAACATCTAAATCAAATTTGAGGAAAATCATCTGGTAGCAAAAAATGAAATATTTACCTTTCAAAGAATATAAAAGTCAACATCACCAATGAAGATAGCTATATTTTCTCAAAATAATTGTTGGAAGGGAACATGAACTTGGACACTTAAGTAAGCTAACACATATCTTTGATCATCATGCCAACAAAAATTGATAAACTGCATGTGTGAATCTGTAATACGCTACTCTTATGATTATAGAAAAGTAAGCAATTAACCTTCACTGAATTCCCAACAAGATTTGTGATGATCTGCCTGAACCTTCCAGGGTCTCCAATCAAAATCTCTGGAACTTGTTCAGATACATACACTGCCATCTACTCTCCAAATCACCAAAAAAAAGAAGAAGAAGAAGAAGAAAATTCGATAATTAGGTTGAAAAGCATTACAAGTCATCAAAACATGTTAATCAAGATCTTACCTCTATGCCTTTAGCTTGTGACTTATCAGAGAAAAGAGATAGCACATTGTCCAGAACATCACGGAGATCAAAGGGAACAGCCTCTAGCTCAAGCCTGCCAGACTCTATCTTAGCCTGATCAAGGACCTCATTTATTAGA